CTAAACTGAGTTATGATTTAGACTGAATTGGTGCAGCACAGGCCAAACTGCTCAGAACAACTGCTATGATTTGATCAGAGTTCCTGTGACTTTATTAACTTAAATTGGCTATTCTCAAACACAGCCTAAATAAGGACAGGATCCCTCCTGTCCCCGTGAGGCTTTGAGGATGCTAATGTGCCCTGCAGCATCACCTCCCTGGCCCTATTCTGCTGCTAACAACACTCTTGTTTATACATATAAGGTAATTAATTTACAGGTAAGTTCTAATCCAAATGCTTTAGACTCCTAGATTCTTTTCTCCCACTTACACTTGGAATATTGGCAATGACTAGTAGGATGTATTTTTTGTAATTGTGCTCCTTAAAGTAAGTATCCACAGCTTACTTTCCAGATGCTGTGGAGTTAACAGCTCCTGTTAGTTAAACTTATTTTCATGACAGCACTATACTTAAAATTATACTGCTACACTAAATACTATGAGCACAGAACTAGAGGTGTTTCATGCATCCTAACTAGACTCCTCAGCCACCCAAAGGGAATTCTGAATTCAGACAGGTTAAGACTGTTAGGGATAACTTCTATTTCCATCATCTCTTTTCCAGGTAACTCCAGCAGAAGCATCACTTGATGGGCAGTGGATCCTTGTTGGATCTAATGCAGCACAGGCACTTCCTAAATGTTTGCTTCAGGGTTATTTTCAGCAGGATGCACAGAAATCTGGCTGATGGGGCTGGACTCTGAAAACTTCCCCCGTGGGGAGCTGTATTTTGACTGTCCCGATAGGACAGAGATCAATGCACTGCAGAGTTAATCCTGTCCAGCAGCAGCTGCACTCTTCCTTCCCCTGGCATTACCACAAACACTGACCCATCAGATAGGGAAACTGAGGCAGCAGAGGCTGTATCTCCTCAGATGCCACATGGAGCAGAGCTGGCAGAGGTGGAAGTGCACTGCAGGCTGATGCTCCACTCCCTGTTTTCTTACAGCAGATTGTCCTGATAAGGGTTTTCCTTGGATCACAAGACATGATGAGAGAACTTATCATTTAAGAAGTTAAGAGTACCTTAATCAAAGTAATTACTGAAACTGATCTGATTGGGAAGTAATCTATTTAGAAAAAGTTAGGACTGCCAACTGGGAAGCTCCAACCCAACCCTGAGTTGATTGCTTTAGATGTGGATGATTTCCCACTTAATTTTTCAAGTGCTATTGAAAATGTCTTCATCTGTGAATGTCAAATATTTATTTTTCTAGAACACTAAATAATGGCCATTTAGGCATCTCAACATGTAAACAACATGTTAGATAGGTTTTCAAGCACCTGGGTGAACCTGAGTTTCTCTGAAGCAATCGGAAGAGCTGCACCTCACTGCAGCTCCGGTGGCACTCCAGGGAAATTCCCCTGGGACAGAGCTCTCGGGAGGGCTGGCACTGCCACATCCTGCTCCTCTTAAACCAGCTGCTGAGAGCCTGCTCTTCCCTCCCAGGATCCCAGCAATGATTCCATTTGAACGCTCTGCCCCCAGAAAATCACAACCCATCAGTATTTGATTAATCAGCTCTGCAGTTGTGGTGCGTATTTGCATTTTCTGAAGATTGGGATGTACAAACATCAAACCACAGAACTGTAGAATGGTTTGGGTTGGGAGGGACCTTAAAGCTGATCCTGTTCCAGCCCCTGCCAGGGCAGAGACACCTCCCACTATCCCAGATTGTTCCAAGCCCCAGTGTCCAGCCTGGCCTCGGACACTTCACGGATCCAGGGACAGCCCCAGCTGCTCTGGGCACCTGTGCCAGGGCTGCCCACCCTGCCAGCCAGGAATTCCTTCCCAATGTCCCACCTATCCCTGCCCTCTGCTGGGAAGCCATTCCCTGTCTCCTGTCCCTCCAGACCCTTGATAAAGGGTTTCTCTCCATCTTTCCTGTTGGCTCCTTCAGGTCCTGGAAGGCCACAATTAGATCACCCTGAAGCTTCTCTTCTCCAGGCTGAACAACCCCAGTTGTGCCAGGCTGCCCCCACAGCAGAGCTGCTCCATCCCCCTTGGTGCTCTCCTCTGGACTCAGCCCAACAGGTCCATGTCCCTCCTGTGCTGGGAACCCCAGAGCTGGAAGCAGCACCCCAGGAACTTCTCATACACAACAGGCAAAAACCAATCTCCTATTTAAAACGTACAAGAGATGGTGACGGTGATTCAGGGGCCAGCAAACGAAGGGATTTCATTCAGATTTGGTCCTTTACTTTCTGGGCTCAGAGGAATAAGAATCATCACATCCCATCTACTCTCAGTGATGGATGAGAAAGGCACTTGTGGAGAGGAATACTCCCGAGGAATTACGGAACAAGGATGCAGTCACAGAGGGAGTGTGTGCCAGGGGACAGCTGTTAAATCTGGGATAATCTTAGTGGTCCTGCACTGACATTACCAAAGTCTAAAACCCATCAGACATCAGAATTGCTTCCCTAGGGAGAGCAGGCTGAACTTGGACAGGGTTTGGACAGGGCACAGCTGCACACACATAACTAGGAAAAGGCAGTTTTGGGGTTATGTGGTCACATATTCAGCTGAGATCCTGAAATGATCACGATGATGCTCTGGAACCCCAAGGTACTGTCCCAAAAGGGCAAAAAGTCTCAAGCTCCTCTCAGAGCACACATATATCTAGAAATACACAGGAATGTTAAATTTCTGTCAAATTCCAGTCCTACACCATGCATCCTGCTTTTACAGACTCCCAGAATGGCTGAGGTAGGAAGGGAACTCTGGAGTTTCTCTTGTGCCATCACCCCTGCTCAAGCTTTTCTCGCAAGTTCTTGCCAGAACAGCTCAGCCTGACTTTCAGAATGGCTTTTACAAAGATGTGAAAGTGCTCCAAGTTATTCTTCCACTTACACCTGCGGAAAAGTTTCTTGCACAGGAATGAAACATGTGCTCAGAAATCTGTCAAAAGAGCATATGTGATTCCTAAAGTCTCCTGAAAACATGATTTCTGTTGGTGTCAACCTCATGGCATTACAAGAGATCAAAGAAAAGCCAACGCAGTGTGGAAAAACTTGGGAAGGCGAAGACTCAGCTTCCTTTTGAATTCAGACAACTTTTTCTGTTTTTTAAACTGCTTTTTGCTACTGAGCCTCTGCCAGTGTCACACCCTTGTGCTGGGGTACCACCACCCTGGAAGGGACTGACCAGCACTCGTCGTGCAAGGCTGGGGATGGAAAATCACCTTTCAATTATGAAACGCACGTACGGCCCCAGCATACGTGGAATGTTTACATCCTTAGAAAAACGATCCAACTGTCCCATCCAATCTCCAGGGCAGACTGACAGGGGAATTTTTCTCTAATAAAGAACTTTGATGAAACAGGAATGTCAGCTTTAGTGCACACTGCACTGACTGGAACAGGATCAAAACTAAGTTCCACACGATGTTTTCAGGGGAAAAGACGAGAATGTTTCACGGAATTTAAGTCGGGATTTGGCTTGCATCCTAGAACATATATCTCGTTATGAAAACTGCTGAAACACTTTCAAGTGGGCAAGCCATAAGTGTCCTTGGAGCTATCCAGTCAACTGGAAGTCACACGGGCAGAACCTCCTAAAGGGGAAAAGCCTGAAATTGGTGAGGGAGGGGCAAGTAATCTTGGAATCTTATCTGTTATCCAGAACGGTTCCCTTGTGCCTACAGCATGAAGTAGTTACAACTTGTTTTCTGCTATTGTCACAGATCCAGGACGTTACTCTGGCTAAATCACAATCTCTTCCTGCCTCAGTTCATCCATGTGCAAACCTGGCTCGCTAACTCTTACCTTAATGTGTCATGGGGCTTAATTAATAACACTTAGGTCTTTTAAGTCCTCTACAAACATTAACTACTTCTTGTAACAACTCTCCAAGGTATTATTATCCCCATTTTACTCAGGGAGAAACGGCAAAAGAGGTTGTCACTTGCCCAAGGCAACAGAGTAATAGTTATACTTAGAGATCCTCTTCACGGACTCCTCTAACAGTGGAAGCATATCAAGAAAGGTAAAGACAATAACGACCAACTCAAAATTACTTTTGAAAGTGCACCGTAAGCACCTGGAATACGATGGAAAATCCCTCCCAGAGACAACAGGCTTTGGACCAGAAAAAGCATCACAACTGTCGCCACGGAGAACGGTGTACCCCGGACAGACCTAGGCTTGAGCTCACCCAAACAGCCACACAGACACAGCCAGACCTGTCCTCTCGAGCGCTCTTAAGTACCATAAAATTGAGCAACAGGCTTGTACAGTGCTCTCCAGTAACACCGAGCGAGCAGATAATCAATGTGGTATGCAGCACGCTAATTCCTTCCGCCGCGTTCCCAGCAGGGACCGGGAATGCCAATAGCGGCCCTGGCCGGCGGGGGTCCCGCACGGTGCCGGCGCGGCCGCCGCCCCCACTGCTGACAGCGGCAAAGTTGGGGTCCCCGCCGCGCTGACATCCCCGGAGCCGGCGCCGGGAGCCGTGGCCGGGCAGCGCGGAGCCCGGCAGCCGCCCCGGCCGTGCCCGTCCCGCTGCCCCGGGGCCGGTGACAGGCGCGTCCGGCGCTGCCGCCCCGGCGGCGACAACAGCGGCAGCAACAGGCGCGTCCTGCGCGGGACCCGCGCGGGCACGGCCCGCGATGCGCCCGCAGCGCTGCGGCCCCGGCCCGGCCCCGGGGCGAGGGACGGGCCGGCCGGGCGGACCCGCCGCAGGCCTCGGCCTGGAGGGGCGGGCGGGGGGTGTCAGGCGGGGTGACACCGCTCCGCCGCTCCCCGCGGCAGGGCCGGCCCGCCAGGGCTGCGGCCGGGGCTCGCCCGGGGCTCCGCGGCGGCAGCGGGGGGCGAGCGGGGCGGACGCGGTGTGTCCGCGGGCGGCGGGCCCGCGGCGGGCAGGCCCCGAGGGGACATCCCGCCGGTCACTCGGAGCGGCCACCCCGCGCCCCCACCTGATCCCGGGCTGGGACCCGCGCGGCTCCGCCGCGTCACTCACCTGAGGGAGCGGGGGCCGGGGAGCGGCGCCGCGGGGCCGCGCTGCGGGCGGCCGGGCGGGCGGAGGGTGCTGGCGGCGGCGGCTGCTCCGCGCTCCGGGCGCTCGGCGCTCAGCGCTCAGTCGCCATTTCCCGCCTACCGACCCGCTGCACCGCACCGAGGGACCCGGATGGCAGCGGGGCCGCCGCGCAGGCGCGCCCGGCCGGGGGAGGGGGCCGGGCCGGGGCAGGCCGGGAAGGAGGGAACGGGGCCTGGCGCGGCAGCGGCGCCCGAGCCGGCGGGACCGGCGGCGGAGCCCGAACCGCCTCGGCCGAGGAGGCGCGGCCGCTCCGCGGTTCTGGCGCCGGGCCGGGAGGTGAGGGGAGAGGGCGAGCGCTGAGGGGCCCGCGGGGGCGCGAGCGGGCAGCGGGGGCGGGCCCGGAGCAGCGGCAGCGCCGGGCAGCACTCGCCGCGGACGGAGGGTCGGACGGAGAGAGGGACGGACGGACGGACGGAGAGAGGGACGGACGGACGGAGGGTCGGACGGAGAGAGGAACGGACGGACGGACGGACGGGCAGCGCCGCTCGCGGCTCCGGCCGCCCCCTCCCCGCGCTCCCCGGCCCCGCCGGCCGCTCCCCCCGGCCCTGGCCGCTCGCCCTCCGTCCCGTTCCCGGAGCGCAGGACAGTGCTGCCGTGTGCTTTCGGTTGCTGTTTTTAAGTCGCCAGTGGAGTCCGGTGTGAAGTTTTATTTCCGCTTTTTCTTTTTCTAGGCAGCCTCTTTGTGTGTGAAATGCTGAGGATGCCGCATGCTTTGCTGTAATGAAGCAGCTTGGCTATCTCTTGTGGTATAGGAGTATAGTGACGTTACATTTCTCACTTCAATGCTACTGAACTTGGATATTTTAACTTTTCTCTTGATGATCACTTTTACTTACCAGACTTTGTAGCAGAAATCGGTTCTCAGGTTCACCTGTGTTATGACAGGATAATGTCTCAAAGTATTGCCCAGAACGGAAGGTTTTTACAGGAGTATGTGGCATTCTCTAATTTAGCAGTAAAGAAACCTACATGGGTGTTGTGTTTCCTGGTACCTGTTCACTCCCTGCTTAGCTTTTGAATGTGGATCAGATTATAGAAGTCCCAGCTCTCTAGTCACCTAAAATATTTATTGGCTTGTTAAAGAGAAGCACATCTGCTGCTGTGAAGGCAAGATTTGTTTTAGAATTCTGTCACAGGACTCTACTAGTCTGTCTTTAACAGAAGACACTATAAAGCTAATTTTACCATAGAAAAGAGGTCATAGGAAGGCGGTGGAAACTCATTCAGAACAGGGAACCATATTCCTTTGGAGCATTCAGGTATTTATTGTGAATATTTTGTAAATGATCAGCTGTGAGAAAGGTTAGTTTGGACATGTTAGAGCCTCATTAAGATGGTTTGGCAGTCCCTTAGGAGGAACTTGTATGGCAGGATAACTGTGTGATGTCTCACACTGTTACCCCAAAAGGACATTCACAGATACTTAGAAAGTGGGAGTTTTGGGAAATGGCGGGTGGGAATACTCTCTCAAGCCGTGTAATTAAAAGGAGCTGCCAGAGGAGATGATCCAGCAAGATTGAAAGCAGGCAGGTATTTGTGTGAGCACCAGCACGGCCAGAAACACTCTGAGATTAATCGTGTGACTCAGGGTTCAAACTGATCCTTATGGCAATGAGAACTGGCCTTTTCTGTGTAACAGGATATCAAAATTTGCTTTTCACAGTGCCTCGCGCTCTCCTCGAGTTCCCTGGTGCTGAATTAGGGAGAAGGGGCTGCACTGGCAGGAAAGGGAATATGGCAAATCATCTTGCTGATGGTGTTGCTGTGCAGGGAGAAGTTCAGAAGCCCCCACGGAGCAGGGCCCTGTACCCGAGCACAGCTTCAGCTCTGTGTGGGACGTGTAAAAACCCTGTGCAGGCACACGGAGCCTTCGGAGTGTGTGTTCGGGCCAAAGAAAAGGCTGAGCTGGCAGCAGTGGGCTGCCCCTTGCCAGAGGATTTGGGCTCCTGAGATTCGAGGAGCATGTTTGCTTCACAGAGAAACTGAAGGGGAAATGTGCAGTTGTCAGGCCACTGCCCATTCCTGCAGTGAGATCCCGACTGCTCCTTGACCGTTCCTCATGGTTTAGGATTTCCCCTCACCTCTTTCCCCTGAGCCTTGCAGAGCCCTTAGCTCTGTGTTTATCCATCATATAAACCTCCAGAGTGAGCTCCCCGATCGTGCAGATCTGATGTGGGGCAGGTTCAGTGTCTTGGGCAGCTGTTTGCAGCATCTGCAGCTCACTGGGGTGGGGTTTATTCCAGTTCCAGCTTAACTTCAGCGTCTGGCACTTCTCAGCAAATTCAGTTTTCTTTGGGTTTGTATCTTACTATTGCCCATTTCCCGTGTTTGCTGTTTCTTTTGCCTTTCTGAAGGGAATCTATTCCATTGGATAGTGACCAGAGTTAAGAGAAGCAGCTCCCAGGCTGTGCTGCTCCTCCATCCCTGGTGTATGGGAGCCAATCTGGCTGTCCAGGAGCAGCTCCAGACATTCCAGTTGACAGCAGCAGGGATTCATCTGCTCCAAATCCCCCCAGAAACACAAGGGAATGAACCTTGTGTTTGGTCTGGCACGGTGCAGCGCTGGAGAGTGGCATGGGACATTCCTCCAGCCATGGAAATGCACAGCCACCAGTAGTCAAACCCTGCTTTGGGAAGTTGAACTATAGATTACCCATCCCAGTAATCCCAGGGTGGCTACACGGGGTTCCACATAGGTTGAGGAATTGGAGTATTATGGTTTCTATATTGGCATAAAGAAGTTCAGGCATAAATATCATTACTCTGTTTCTGGCTGGCTTGAAAATTCCACTGCACTCTCATAAATAGGGAGAGATGGCCCTGGTTGGTTTTGTGGGTTTGTTTTCCTGTTTTATTTAGACTACAGGAATCTGGTCTCCTCAGTCCTGGAGCCAGCTGGAACAGCAGGACACTGCTCCTCCTTATAAAGTGCCTGATCTCACATTTTGTAGTTCATCACAGCAAGACTTCTGATCCTATCAAGTATTTTGGTCAGTCTCCTCAAGGAAGGTTACTTCAGCTGGAAGTTCCCTGCTTGGGTGCCAGGTTACTGAAAGCTCTGTGTATCTCCTGGGATTGCAGCTGACAGATGGAATTCCACATGGCATGTGAAAATTCTCCTTAATAGGGATAAAGGAGAAAGTTTTCAGATAGAGAATTTTTTCAGAGGTGTGTACAGGGAAATGGATCCTGCTGAGAGCTCAGGACCTCCAAAACCACCACATGAACCAGCACAGTTCAATTCAGAGTGCAAACTGTAAACAGGGGCAGTAAACAGATTTATAGAGAAAACCTTTTGTACTTTCTGTGTGTACTAGTACAGAACACTCACAAGCTCTTCTGTCCTGCAGGCTTCGGATTTCCCACTGTTGCTGGGTTTGCATATATAAAATGTAAAATTATAACATTTAATAAAATCTACAAACTATTATCTTGTGTCTGTTTCTTGTCACTTCAAAGTATTTTTAGCTCTTCATGGCTATTAAAATGCTGAAAAATGTGGGGGTTTGTTTCATCTAGAACTGGGTTTGACCTTTTGGCAACATCCTGCCCATCGGTTTGGTTTTCCTCATTTGGAAATTAAAATGGGTTCATCAGCGAGTCTTTGTTTTTGTGAGATCCGTGTGACTTTGGGAAGGCTTTGGCAGAGTCTGCTGCAAACCTCCAAAACTGGGCAGCTACGACAGGCTGGAGTAACTGGAGTTGTTTCTCTGGCTGTTGGGTGGAGATGCCTGCATTTCTGACACTGCCTGAACTCGTCCCTCAGCCTTGGCAGTGGAATCTTAGCTCCCTTCTCCTTGTTTGAAATGCACTGCCACGTGGATCCAAGGGATTTATAGCGAGCCTCAGCCCCTGGGTGTGGGTTAAGATGTGGCTGTGTTGGGTTCCTCCTGTGGACCCTGGAATGTGAGAGCCCGTTGGATTCCCGTTGGATTCCCGTTGGATTCCCGTTGGATTCCCGTTGGATTCCCAGTCTCGCTGGGTGCTGAGGGAAGCAGCTGCTCGAGATCTGTCAGCGTTGTCTGTGCTGCCATTGCCATGGCAACAGGAACAGGCTCCACACAAACGGCACAGGCTGTTGGAAGAGCGCTTTCAAAACAAACCCGAGCTGGTTTGTCACTCTCGGTGCTCAGAGCCCAAATGGTGCTGCACAGCCCAGCTGCAGGGGCAGCTGTGAGCCCACAAATCCTCATCTCCTGCCTGGGGAGATGCTCCAGACCCCTCATCATCTCTGTGGCCTCCTGGACCCTCAGCAGTAGCCCCTTGTCTCTCCTGAGCTGTGGAGCCCAGAATTGAGCACAATACTCCAGATGTGGCCACACAAGGGCGAGGCAGAGTAATCACTCTGATGGAAAGAGGAAAGAAAGAGAAATCATGGAGTGCAAAGAAAAAGAAAGGCAGAGGAGGAACATGGAGCAACCCACCTTTGGCACAGGAGCACAAGAGGGAAGGTCCTGTTGATGGGCAGGGAAGGGAAAAACAGCTGAAGCTGTGAGCAGAGTGGTTTCATCTCAAAATTTCACGAGTAGCTCTTTATTTAGGGGTCTCTCCAAGCTGTGTCATGTGATGCTGCAATTCCACTTTCTAAATGCAGAAACTGAGAGGAATTTTTTTTGCCATTGACATTTGAAGTAGTAATAAACTGTCTTAAAAACCCATAACATAATTGTATGAGCATTGAACTTTTATTTAAGAGGTTCACTGAGCCGGCAGGAGCAATCCTGACCCATTACTCCAGCCCAGCACCAGAGCACAGGGGTGATTTCAATCACCCTCTTCAGGGCCTACAACCTGTGTCCACAGGAGCCCTTGGGGCAGCAGGGGGGACAATTCCCTTCATTCCCACCACTGCAGAGCAATGGAATCATCTCCATCAATTCTGGAAGTGCTGGAACACAGAATACAGAAAAGGGTCTTTCTTACAGGTCTGATGGAGAAAACCAAACCGTGGGATGTGGTGGGTGTTGAGGATCAAGGGATTGAACTGGGAATGAACAGGAGTGGCTGGAGCTGGGATGGACACTGGGACAGCACACCAGCACCCACAGTGTGTTTGCCTGTGTGAGGGCTGCTCCTTCCATCGAGGGGCTGACACAGCTGCTGCAGATGTGTCTCTCACTGACACACCCTCTGTAACACAAAGATTTCCTACAAGCTGCAAATTATTTAGATCACCTTTTAAATCCAGCTACTAGTTGCACAACTTTTTTGGGATGTATGAAATTATTCAAGTCCTCCTACAGATTTCCAGCTCTGTCTACAAGATGTGGTCACTGTGCAGGAGTTCAGTGGGGTGTGGTGCTGGGTTGCAGTGAGGAAGGAGCAGTTATTGAACCGTGCAGTTCCCAGTCCCTCTGAGGTTCCATTCTCACTGCTGTACAAACCCCAGCTCCCAGGAGCAGCAGTTCTGCCCCACGGCTGGGACTGTAGAAAAGGAGTTCTTGGCTGTACACGGCTTCCACAGCAGCTTTGTTACATCAGGTACAAACTGTACAAGTTCTCCAGGTTCCAAGTGTTGTAGGTGGCAGAAACAGTTCAGCCTGTGTTTATAGACTGGGTTTAAGTGTAGAGATTATTACAGGTAAGGACCAGGCAGAGTACCCAGCTCCATGGAACAGCAAAGATGTGGGTTTAATACAACCTGCAACAGTACAGATATGTACATATGTACAGAGTGGATCCTCTTCTGCTGCTGCTGAGCACACTCGGCACTTGATCCTCAGCTTCCTTGGAAGTAGGAAACACTGGAGCAAAACAGGTCCAGTTCTGCAGCACCTCAAGTTCTGGGTTGAGCTCTCTGTGACCCTACAGGACCCCCTCGTTGAGGCGGGACTTGCTGTAGTCCCCCAAGTCGTTCTGCAGGTCTCGCTCCTCATCATCTGCAATTACAGATTGTAATTAGACTACAGTTAAAATGCTCAGATCAGATCTGATGTGGTATCACTGAAAAAATACCAAAGTACAGTTCCCAGGACATGCTGCTAAAGGGCACAGCCCCGAGCTGGCCAGGGCTGGTGACAGGATGGAGTCAGCAGGGACAGGATGTGTCCAGCCTGGCTGGCAGCATTCCAAGGGGATCTCTGGCTGCAGGGCAGCCCCAGCTCACAGTCTGCCTGACTTCAGACACTGCAGCACTGTCACACCAGCTGCTGGGCTTTGACACTGCCTACCAAGCTTTCAAACTCCCCCTCTGAAACCCGGCTCCTGCTCAAAGCCCCGTGCCCAGAGTTGACACCATAAGGCTTCACAGAGGGTGGGAACTTGAGGGACTAGCACAGGGAAGTCACTGGGACCCCTTCCATAACAAAGGCCTCCTTCCCTCAAAAAGTGAAAAACCCTAAAACTTCTATTTGTTCCAACTAATAAGCTTTTCCTGCACCTCAGAGCTATTCCTTTCTATCAGGAAAGACTCTTGTTCACAGCAAAGGAAATCCAAGTTGAGCTCCCCCATCTTCCTGGAGCTCTCCACACCTTCACACCCAGCACCCTGGGAGCCAGGCAGGGGCCTGAGGGGTTGCTCCAGCAGCAAAAGGCTGGATTTCACCTGCAGGACACAGGTTTGTTCTGTGACAAAGTGCCACCACAGCACCTGGACATCCTGGAGTTACTCCCCCTCCACCATCCAGCCACCACTAACACATTTTAGAAGCTGCCACCTTCAAACATCCCCTTGTCCTCTAGCAGGTGCCTGAGGGAAGGAACCAGGCTGGGTGCTGCCCTGCCCCAAGGAACATCCCCCAAATTGGATATTTCCCCTGGACAATTCAATCTAAGCCTGCACATTCCTAGAGACAAGAGAAATCATGTGGAATCCAGTGGCTTTGTAGCACACGCCACAGGCTTTGTTCAGCCCGATGCAGACCCGGGTGATGTTTTCCTGATGGTTTTTAGACAGAAATTCTCATTCCTTTTTTCCCCTCCCTAAACAATTACAACCACCCTCCCTTCAACCCCTCCCTGTTCTGCCCTCTCCTGCCCTGCAGACAAATCAGCCTGAAGCAGCCACTTTTTCTGGAATACTGTCCCTGGAAGCTCCACTGGTCACACTCAAATCACAGCTCAAGCCAACACAAGAAGTTATTAAGGAACAACAGAACAAAGCCTGGGAAATGTGGTTTGAGGTAGTAACACACTGTTCAGATCATTCCTCAGGAAGAACCTTCCAGAAGTCACCCTTTAACCTAACTATCAGCTCTTAATCCAGTCTGTCTATACAGAGACAAAGAGGGGTTCCTCAGGAAAAGGATCTTCCCCAAGTTCAAATTCCAAGCCACCAGAGCAGGGACCTTGCAGGGACCCCACCTGGAAGGGAAATGGCTTTACAGGGTCACTGTCAGTCAGAGCTCTGTTTTTTCAAACACCACTCACATTGCAAGTTACACAATCCCAGTGCCTGGGGTTTAACATTTTCCCACCACTTAGAGCTGGATCACGCCACCCTTTCCCAAGTGGCACAGGGGAATGCTGCCCATGTCACTGCAGCTGTTCAGCTGCCTGAGCCATCAGCTCCCCTGGGAAGGTCCCCACAGCCAGGTCCTCCTGCTGACGGAGCAGCACAGAGCTCTGAGGGGCAACAAGAGCTCTGTGGAATGGGGACAGGGACAGGGCGCTGCATCCCTGCACCACGTGGCAGCCACCTATGGTCTGGCTCTGCTCCCAGGGAACAGGGACAGGACAAGAGGAAACGGCCTCAGGCTGTGCCAGGGGAGGGTCAGGTTGGATATTGGGAACATTTCTTCACAGCAAGGGCTGTCCAGAGCACACAGGCTCAGATGGCAGCAGCCAGCACAGACTCAGCCGCAGTTACAACTTCCAGAGTTGATCCTGAAGCCCAGGTAAGGAACTACTGCAGAGCTGGGCAGGACCTGCTGCTGACTTAGGGGAATGGGACAGAGCTATGAAACCCCCACCCACAGAACTGCCAGCGTTTGCAGGGCTTGGGGACACACAGGACACCCTGCACTCCCTGCCCACAACAGCCCAGCACCATCAGGGACACACTCCCATGGCCCCAGCACCATCAGGGACGTGCTCCCATGGCCCCAGCACCATCAGGGACGTGCTCCCATGGCCCCAGCACGGACAGAAAAGTGCCATGGGAAGGGACACTTGCTATGGGACCAGGCTGCTCTGATCCCCCCATGCCTTTGTGCAGCTGCCAGCCCAGGGACCACCCTGCAGAGGGGCAGGCAGGACACACAAACCCCCTGCAAGTTCTGAGCACAGGGGGTACAGAACAGGCTGCAGCTGGAGCAGCAGGCACTGCAGCTCATTAGTAAGTTAATTAATCACCACAGGTTCTGGTCCATCCTATTCTTCCACTTGTGCATGAGTTTCAGAGTGCCAGCCCAGTCCAGCCTGCTGACACTGCACTTAGCTGCATGCTCACACAGTCAGCTGCTTTTTACTGGCTTTGCCTATTCATTTTGCTTAGATGCCAATTAAATACGGTGCCTGAAAAACCTCCAGCTAAAAACTTACTAACTTATATAACTTGTATTATGAGGGTCAAAATCAGGGGGGCTGTAGGATTTTTGTCCCATTTCCTGGGGGTTTTTTCCCCTCTTTATTTTACACTTCCATTTAATGGGAAATACTCTCTCTATGTTTACCCAACATTCTCGCCCTAGAGACATGCAGGCCTGTCCCAAATATCCCCAAAGAGCTGGATGGAGGAGGCAGACAAGGCAGGCAGAGGCAAGCGAGGGAGGCGATGCAGGAGCTGCATGCAGGACAGGGAATGGCCATGCACACATGGTGTTAGGCAGCACTGGATCAGGAGCTCCGAGGTGGGTTAGCAGGACACCACAAGCCTGTTGAATCTGTGTATAATGCACAAGTGACACCTGGAATCACCACCTGAGGCCTCAGTGCACACCAGCTCCAGGCAGGTGTGACAAGAGCAGGAGTAAAACCACTTCATTCCTCTGTTTGACAATTTAGGAATGTCAAGGCCCAAAGCCCTCCCAGGCAGGGGCCAGAGCTGGGGGTTTGGGTAAATCATTGCCTGGAATTTAGGGTCTCACTCTTCCTAGCAGGGACTATTGCAGTAAGGTGCCAAAGCCCCCTCACTCAGGTCTGTTGCATCATTGCTGTCCCACAGAGAGTGATACCAAATTTCAAGCTTGTTTGTTCTGTCTGAGCAATTTGTGATCAGCTAAAGCAGAGAGGCTTTACACAAATTCAACAAGTAACTCAGCATGGATTTATCACAATGGGATGGAGGTAAAGGCCCAAGCTCACCTTGGACGTCTTCTTCTCCACCATCACCATCCTCTTCCTCATTGTAAGCCAGCTCGGCCTGTTTGTCTGCCTCATACTCACCCACGTTCCCATCATCCCCATTATAATCTGCCAGTTTAGAACCCTGCTGCGGGTCCACAGGGGATTCATTCTCATCAAAGAACCGGCCTGTGGGGTAGGAAAGGAGTGAGTCAGCAGCAGAGAGGAAAGAAACAGGGAGATCCTACATGAGAGCAGAGAGGTGGAGGCAGTCGGGGTCTGTGGTAGATCCAGCTGGAGAGAAAGGGGGAGAAGGGAGAGGGGTAGGGGTCGGACAAGGTTCGTGGAGCACCTCTGAGCAGGTGACACCTCCGTGTCACCCTTGTGACCTGACTGTCCCACACTCCTCCCTCCACGGGCAAGGGCTGTGAGTGAGTGCCCCAACAGCTCCTTGGATTGCCCACGGGCACCAACACAAGATTTCCCAAAAAGCACAAAAGCACCCGTGGAAGGGTCAGTGCCTTCTCCTGAGGCATTTTGCACAGCCTGGAGGGATCCAAGGTGCCTGCAGGGGTGTCCTGCTGGCACAGACCTGCCCTCACCGTGCTGCTGGGAAACTCAGCCAGCTGGCTTTACACTCTGCTTTCCTAGTAAGCTCCAACAGTTTTCAAAATGCCCCAAACCCAGTATTTTCATCTCCTCACAAAAAATTAAGAATGGTTTCAGATCCTGAAACAATGCACAAGAAAATGGGAATGAGCTGGAAATAAGGACTGAGCAGATAATCACTGAGGCACATAGTGAGAGATTGCTGGTGTGAGGTCAGCTCAGAGCTGGTGTTTAACGGGGTACAGGGAGATCTCTGCCAGCCCAGTGCTGGGGGGAAGCAGCTCTGAGTCTGCAGAGGCCACTGGCCTGGAAGATCGTGTATAAATGGAAAAAATGGGAATAAAGTGTGATACAATTCTCACACACTGGGTACCAAGGCTGCCACGGCAGGTGGTGATTCCCAGTGCAACTGATGGGTAAGTAAGACTGGAGAATGATTTCAACATCAGGATTAAAAATGGGCAGATGTAAAAGTGAAATTATTCCCTAAAACAATGTGTATATAAAAATCAGGACAGAAGCAGTACCATTCTGCATCTCTGCATGGGGGGAAAAGCAGCAGAATCACACCTAGGATGTACAGGAACACCTGTATTTTACATAAATACACAGGTGTTTTCATAAAACAAGCAAAAAAACCTGATCTGTTTAGAAATCCAAAGTTCCATACATTATTCATTGCCTGCTCACGTCTGAGTGATCCTGTTGGTATTTTTGACACTGCACTACATCCAAAACCTGGGTAGGAGAGTGGGATTTGCACATGTTGAACCCAAACTGAGCCATGGAAGACAAGGGCATGTAGCCAACTTCCAGCAAAACCAGCCCATGGACAGCCAGAGATACTGTGACAAACAAGCACTGAATGAGTTGAAGCTGACAGAAGGAAAGGTTGAAGTGGATGAAGAGATCCCAGGAAATGCAGCAGGCCCACAGAGGCTACAGACTGAGCTCAGGGAGCACAGTCAGTCTGGTGAGCCCACCCTGTCCCACCCCTGCCATGGCAGGGACACCTCCCACTGTCCCAGGTGCTCCCAGCCCTGTCCAGCCTGGCCTGGGACATTCCAGGGATGTCCCAGCATCCTGTGCCAGGGCTGCCCACCCTCCCAGGGAACAACTCCTGCCCAATATCCCATCCAGCCCTGCCCTCTGGCACTGGGAGCCATTCCGTGTCCTGTCCCTCCATCCCTTGTCCCCAGTCCCTCTCCAGCTCTCCTGGAGCCCTCTAAAGTCCCTCCAGACTCCTCCTCCAGGCTGAACAGCACTACTCTGCACCCTCTGCTTCAAAGCTCTCAGTCACCAACACCCAGCCAGGCAATGGCCACGGTGGGAGCTGCAGAGCTGGGCCAGAGCTGGGCTGCTCCATGCCAGAGGTGAGTTTGTCACCAATGGACCTTTCAGAACAGCCACTGACCATCAGGACAGACCCTTTCACAAACCTGGATTAGCTATTTCCTTCCATGATGAAGTGTCTCCCTCACGGCACCATTAAACCTACAATCGGAGCCATGGCAAATGTGGAGCAAAGAGAAGAGATTAACTGGGGACAATTCCTGGCTCTCAGGTACCCCCTCACAGCCTACAGCCAGACATCTCCCTGCCAGCTCCTGCCTACACAACCACCCCCACCATTCCATCCGTCACCAGGGAAGAGAGACAGCCCATTAACAAACCAAACTACTGAAATCAGAAGCTTTCTCACTCCACAAGTTTCTTCCAGAAACCACTTTGATAAAATAACAAGCCTTGCACACCTCAGGGTACACAGAGTGGAAGCCAGGCCTGCCCAGGCTCCGTGACAATTTGTAATTGTAACACACTTGTCCCTGCCCCATCACAAAGTTCCACAAGTGATATTAAAACAACCGAAGTTTTCTCACTTTTGGCTGAATTCTTACAGTACTGTCCAAAAAGTGTATTGAAGTAATAAAGTGAGTAACTTAGCATCCCTCATGTATCAAATCTGTGACTTAACCAATCTAACTGTGCAGTAATTCCCAAAAGCATCTTAAATTCCAATAAGGAAATAATTTTTAAATAACTAAATGCACATGTGAAAAATAACACATTAAAGCCTACCTTTTACCCAGGTACACAATATATTCCTTCTCAGGCTCCCTCCCCAAAGCCACCCTCTGCAATGGTCCCTATTTTCCAGATAGGCATTTACACAGGTAAAAAATGAAGGGATTTTTTTAATATATTGAAGTGTGTGATACTGGCCAACTTACTTTGCTTAATCTTTTGCAAGTCACTAACTCGACTCTTTGGGATTTTTATCTGGTCTGGCTCAATTTTGTGGTCTTTCTGGGCTTCCACATTTTCTTCAAAATTCAAGTGCTGGAGAGAATTCGGAGGGATCTGCTTGGCAATGTTGGCGTTTCCATCACTGTCACCGGGCAAGCCTACAACATTAAAATGGGAAGTTACACTCAGAATTTTAGCAGGACAACAAGCCACCTGCAGTGCAGGCATAACCTAAGGTGACTTGATCTGCAAGCACAGAGTTTATTTTCTTTGGGTTTGTCTCTCTTCTAACTGCAATTCCTCCAAACCCTTTCACTGCAGGACTTTCAGTTCCCACATCCCAAACCTTGCCCGTGTCACCCTCAAGTGAGATGCTCCCAGGGACGGGAACCTTGGTTTATCTGCTTGTGGTGCAGCCCTAATTAGTACCCTGAGGAGGAACAAACATTTCCATTACTCTGCCCACTGGAGGCACTTTGAAACTTCTAACTCAAATTTAGCGGTGATTGGTCAAAAGGCTCAGAAATTATTTGGTGTGGAGAGTACAAGAAGAGATCATACAACAACAGCCCAAGTGCCTCAGCCAGGTAAAAACACAACTTTGGATCCTGCAGAAATTTATCCTTGGTTTTCTTCTTGTAACCAAAATACTGCTAACAGGAATTTTACCTGGTGCCAGGTTTGGAGCATGGGGCTGTTCAGTTGGAAGATTGATAATGGACTGATGACCTTCACTTTTAGGAGCTGAAATAAGTGGCTTCTTTAAAGCTAAAACAGAACACAGGGACAAAAGCATTAATATGAAACAAACACACTACTTACCTGGTCTTGCTCTAACAATCCTGTAAAACTCTATTTTTTTATCATTTCCTTAATGAAAATATAAAAAATAAGATTTCAGGAGGGGCATCATCCAAAACACTCCATTTTGAGAATTCAAATCTCCAGGGCACAGTAGAAATTATCTGATTTTACACCCCACTTGAATTTTATTACCACAGAGAGATTTTAAAAGTCTGCACTCACTGTGAACCACATGGTGTTCACACACAACATCTACATCACCAAGACCCAAATGTGAAAGAATGAAGAGTATTGCTCCTAACCAGTGGGAGTATCTTCAGCTTTAGCAGGGTCATTATCTTCTATTTCAGGCATGCCTGCATCTCCTCCTGGTTTGATTTTCTCTGCAAGACAAGAAAAGGATATTCTGCCTTACTAACCCTCCAGTCTGAACTGTGAATTTCCCTCTTGCGGAAGGCTCTTAGACAATCACTGCAGCTAATCAGTGTAGCTGGGCCAAACAATTCCTTCTACTTCAGAGAAATGCACTGTCTGGAGACTGACAAAAGATGCAACACAACTGGCCCATTCTCTATCACAAACGCCCAGAAAAGGAAATACCTTTGCCATTTGCAACATGTTCTGAAGGCTCCTCATTCTTCACTACGACTTTATCTTCCACCTCTGCAACAGTCTCAGGTATTGCCTGGTCACCATTGCTGGGGCTGACTGCAGTGTCTTTACTAGACTGAATTTTCTGTGTGGCCTGCTAGAACAAATAAGGAGACAACTTATTATTAATTAAACACTTCCCTGGAAATTACAAAACAAACATCCTCAAAATCAAGGTTACTTTGGGTAAGCAAAACTGCATTTATGAATTCAAGGATCACCAAAGCAAAGCACAGAGCACTCTATGCACAAAGCTGGACCCCGGGATCTGGAAACACAACTGGACAGAAAATGTTCAACACAGCACAGCTGCAGGACATTTTTACTGCCATACACAGGTGTTGAGCACAACAAAACCAGGTTAAGGTAACATCAGCCTTAAGCCTCAGGTCAGAGCCTTGAAACAACTCTAGACTGTAAGAGAAGATGACAAACTTGCTCTCATTCTGCCCTATTATTTGAGATGTTTATAGATGAAGTAAGGAAACAAAATTTTAAGCATCTGTTTGCAGGAAAGAGGCCCAAATTCTACTGGCAGCCTGTTTGGTGTAATCACACCCTTGATACCATTCCAGTACCATCACGATTTGCATCACATTAGCACCTCAAGGCCTCGGCAGAGCTCAGGCTCCCTCTGCAATAGGGTAAGGCTGTGAGAACACAGATCCCACCCTGGAGAGCTGAACAGGGATATATATCCATGTTACAGGCAACAACTGAAATCCTCAGCAGTGACATCATGGAGGAAGGCTGGAGCAAAGAATTTGGCCTCAACTTCCAGCTCAGTCCACTGGGTAAGACAATAGGCAGATTTCTTACGCTAACACCCACTTAGGGCTGCTCAGGGGGATACTGAACACAAAGTCAGGGAAGAAATGTCCCAGGCCTCCACATCTCTGAGGCAAACAGCAGGCTTGGGCTCTTCTCATTCAACAAACTTTCTTCACGCTACCTTTTGCTCCCGTGCAATTTGGTCCATTAATTTCTTCATGTTCTCTTCATGCTGCAGTCTCATTTCCTTGATCTGCTGCCCACACTGCAGGCTTGAGGAGAAATACACCATTAGTTACACTTAATTTGTTGGATCTGCTCTCCTACAAATAAAATAAGGGAAAAAATATGGCACAAAAAGCCAAACCTGAGCTATAACCAGAAGAGTCTGTCCAAGAAGCCTGGTGCATGTGTATACAGTGGGAATGGACTGAATACAGTAAGAAAGCAGAGCCGGAAAAAAGTAGGCACAGAGCCGAGAAAACGGTAAAATAAAGAGAATGGCCTTGAATATACTTCCTCCAGAAGCTGGAATGCAACCAAAAGGTCAAGCTCCACAGTTAATCTGTCCGCAAATATTAATTCCACTGGGAAAGCAACGTGTCTCTCCTGGCTGTCAACAGAGAAGGTGCACGAGTGCTACTATCAGTTACTGCTCCCAACTCAAATAACACGATCTGAATACACAGCCAGGTGCCCCAACTTCCCCAGCAAGCCACGGCACCAGCCCAATCACCAAAACTGCCATGTCCCACAGACACTCAGCACAGCACAGAAACTCCTCATGTGTAAAAGTGTCAAACACTTTCTCCAGAGTTAAGTCTTCCTCATTCCTCAAAGCTGCAGGAGTATTTGTTCTCCCTGTTTCTCTATCATCAACTTAAAAGGCTGAAGTCAACTTAAAATTTCAATCTACACAAGGTGCTTTCAGCGTCAGCTGGAACAAATGAAACCACACTGCTAGAAAGGCAGCAATTAACAACGCTGGTGACACAGGACTGTGTCCTTCAGACTCCTTCATGTATAAGTGAACTGAATCTCCATGTTATAAAAAATACATTGACTTAAAAATGCAGAACAATTCCACTAAGTCAAGATTTTCCTATCTCATGTTGGGGGAAGGACTACAACACCACAAAGAACTTGAAAGTCAAACAGCCAGCTCAGGTGCATCGCCAAGTGAGCACACCCGCGTTTGAGAATTAGCAGACACAAGATTAATTAGCACTTTTTAGTTAAATACAGGTCTCCTCACACACACCAACCTGCAGCTACCAACACTCCTGAGGACATACCTGTCATATTCCAGCCTCCTTGTCAGGTATGTGTTGTTCTTCTTGTACTCGTGCAGCTGATCTTCCTGGCGGATGAATTCCTGCCGTAACTCTGCCAGTTGTTCTAGGCCAAAAAGCAAAACCAACATGAATACAGAAAGATAAGGAAAAATGCCCCAAGGCAGATACGCTTCTAATATTGCTAAGTAAGTAAGAAATTGCCCAAGTTTCATGTCTAGACATACTTTAAAGATTCTTAAACCAATTTGAAGAAGATGCCACTTTACTCATGCATGCCAGATGGCAGCATGAATTACAGACCAATTCTTCTGATACTATGCTAATCTCCCTAAATGTTTCTGCACCTTTGCATTCAGAGACCTTGCACAACGCTACTTCACTTATCTGTTGGAAATCTCCCTAATTTCCTGAACGGTTCTGTCGCTCTGAGTAACACGGAAGCACAGCCAGGTTACTCCAGGCAGGATGCTCAAACACTGTCTGCAGTGAGTGTACAAAAGGAGGCACCTTTCCATAAAGCCAACATGGATTTCCTGTCTTCACAACTGCTCTAGAAGTCCTCCCTGCTCCTCAGGCTATGAATAATGAAGCTCCCTGCTATTTTAAGCTGCAGCTACACGGATACAGGCAGAACCCATGTGTGCTGCATGCGGGGATGTTCACATCTGATCACGTTCTGGCTCACTCTGAAGTACTCTGAATACAGCAACACCAGAGGCATTATAATCATGTCTGTACAGAACTTCAGAGATGTGCCCTGGACCTTTTCTAACCCAGCATAACCATCACAGTGTTTCTGATCAAACACTACTAAACTGCGTATTTGGCCATGAAAATGATTCTACTGTCTTGTAACTCAGCAGTGCCAGAACACACATCCCTTCTGCAGCAAAGTGAGAGCCAACTCTGCACTTACCCACACCAGGTAACAAACACAATGAAAGGTTTCACATTATGAGATGTTCCAGCATCACCAGCTCCTTCATTTAAACTGCATTCTGCAGCACCTGGGCAGTTAAAATGCACAACTTCAGCCTGCCAAATGAGTTTGGCCATGAATCCCTCACCCTTTAGCCGATGTATGTCTGCCATCTGATACGAGATGTTGTTCTGCAGCTTCATCTGGAAGGAAGAAAAGGTTGGATAAATACAGGGGACCAGCAGGTTGGGGAGGGTTTGGGCTGTGAAGGTTCAGGTGTGTCTGTTTGCTCAGTAAAGCCAACGCACTGACAGGATTATCGGAGTGATGTGCACAGAGTTCCCATAAATCTAAGAAATGTGTGTTCAGCAACTGTAAGTGACATCACCAAACTACACACTGTGCTCAGGCTTTGCTAACAAAGGCTTAAATTTTAATTCCAGAACATATTTATATCAAAAAAAGTAGATTGTCTGGACTAAAATAAACATGCTGCATCCTGATACTGCAAGAGGGACAGTAAACAGCCAATGTCAAAGCACAGGTGGATAAAAATAAACAGAGCATCAACAGCAAAACCAATTGTTACCTAATGTATATGATACAATAGAATTGTTAAATAATCTTTTATGTGTTGCTATCTAACATCCTAACATACATTTTATTTTGAGAGGGAATCCCAATACAACTACAACAGCTTTTAATTTGGCATTTTTAGTAAGGAAGAAAATAGTTACAATAAGTAAGAAATGCACATACACAAAGTCCTGAAGTAAAGATGCTTTGCTTTGTCATTACATAAAGATAAAAACCAGCAAGAACAAAGAGAGATTCATGTGTGGAATATTCTGAGAAAGGGGGTAGAAATCCCTGCCTGCCCTCAGGCACCTCGGGCGCTGTGGTTGTTTTTCTTGCAGTTTCACAGCGACACAAAGGGTAACTGCAGGAAGGTGCTGAGCAGGGCTGTCACGCGTGGGTGACAAGGTCAGCATCGCCTCTGGGAGCAGCACTCTGCAGAGCCAGCACAGCCACTCGGCCAGGACATGCTGGGACACACACGGGGACACACTTTCACACAGGGGCTGTTTCAGTTCCCCCCACAGTCCCTGAAGTGTCTGTGCAAGCCCCCTCCATTTCCTGTCAAAAAACCCAAAACACACCTGTCCTGCCTTTAGGACTTCCTCTCCGCACCTGCACCTTCCCTTTTATCAAATGATGCATTCTTTAAATGTATTTCCCACTGTGGTTTTGTTGTTACAAGAGGCACTCTGAGCAGCCTGATCCATTTGGCCCGTGTGGGTATGATTCCTGCTTTGGGATGCAGCCACGCAGGAACTGCAGAGATGGTTTACATCCTTACAGGACGCACAAAGCAACAGCCCCTCTGTGCTGGCCTGGGTAGGACTTGCAGAGCTTCACTTTAAAAGCACAGCCAGCCCTGCAGTGGGGACACCCAGGGAAGCAGAAGACACAAGCCACCACCAAGCCTCTCCCTCTACTGGGTACCCAGCGTGCCAGCTCCCCCTCCAGCGACCCAGGACGGGGGAGCAGGTACACCCAGTGATTTGTTGTGTTAATGAACAAATAGCTCCCCCTCTTTTGCAAAACTACAGGCAATAATCTCATTTTCCTGTCTTCCACTCTAACGCAGTTGTTTCCCAGAACCCAATCAATCTGTGAACAAAGGAGATCCTGGGAAGTAGCAGGGTCTGTTTTCAGAATTCCTCACACACACACCCTTCCCAGTGGCTCCTGCTTATCCCATAACCATGTGCCTGGCTGGGGGAGGGCTGCTGTCTGTGAGACCGAGCTGCATGGCAACGCGCAGCACTTTTATCACACAATCTTTCCTTTGGGTGATCCTGAGTTTCAGAGAGAAGTGACAGAATTTATATCCAAACCAGCTCAGCTGACAGCAAATGTCCCTGATCTGAAGGATAGAAAAGGAAGAAGCTTTTTTATGATTCATGAGATCTGTTCCACCTACACATGCAAAACCCACAATCCATGAGCCGTGGCGCAGGTCCAGTTCTTCCTGGGCACCATTCTCCTTTGGTCTAGACCTGTTTGTATTGCTGAGCTCTCAAGGGCTCCTCAGGGCCTTTCCAAGCACTTGGGATGGAGAAAATAAACCCTCTGTAGCCCAATGAGCCCTGCACAGGAAAAAACACCAGAAATCCTATGCATGGTCATGTGGCAACCCTCCAGTGCTGTCTGAGTTGTGAATCTTGCCATGTAACAACTCCACATTGCTGCTGTCAAGCTACAGCTTTGCAAACTGGGGAGTTACCAAGTTTTGGCAACAAAGAACAGACCCAGCAGCTGCTGGGGATGTGTGACTAAACAGCTTCATCCCTGAATCCACATTTCTGGGCAGCAGTAAGGGCAGGCCTGTGCTCCACACTGGCATGGCCAGCAGCAGGTATGGGATGAGAGGTGCTCCCTGCACGCCTGCCACCTGGAACTTCACCAGGGATGCCTGCCAGTCCCACGTTTCACTGTGCTCATTGCAAACAGACACACAGAGCTATGGAAAAACCCCAAAACCTAACGGCATGCTGCAAAAACCCCACAGAATGCTCAGGAGGGTGATGCTACCTGTGCCTGCAGCACCACTCCAAATCCCAGGGTAGGCATTACCCCTGCTTGCCTCTCACGGGGCGCTTCAAAAGAGAACTCCTTGTTTGTTCCAAGGTCCAAGAGACCCTCAGGAGCTCACCACAGGAAAGAATTCCCAAGAATTCATGCTTTTTCTCTTTCTTTATAAACACAAGACACTGGCTCACGCCCCCATATTTGCTCCCAAGAGCAAACACCATCCTGGTGCAGTGTGATGGGCTCGTTCCACGAGCAGGGGACACGGGAGAGCCAAGAGTTTGGCCCTGACTCCAGAAATCCCTGAGCCAAGAGGAAGCTGCAGCAGAAACTGGAGTTGCCTCAGCACTGGGAAAGGCACTTGATTTATGTGACCACAAGGCAAAGAACCTCAGCTGAAGACAAAGGAGCACAAAGCAGAACTGACACTGAGAATCTTCAAATGAGTTTTTCTTGTGATCACTTGTACCAATGTTGGGATTTTATTTCAGCTCCTGCATTTCACAAATGAACTAAGATCACAGGTAATGAGCAGTTTGGTCAGACAGACTCGACAAATTCTATTTTGGGAGGAAAAAAATTATCACTCAAGCCTTTTTTGGTCAGACACTTTGTATCTACTACTGTTTCCTTGTGACAGACTTTCATTCTCTAAAACAAAGCTTTATTCTCTACTCTCCCAGAAGTAATAGTCCTTAAATACAGTCACTTAAAGGGTTTTAGAAAAAAATAAACATTGTTGCCAATGAGAAAAGACAGTGGCTTACATGGGAGGAAAAAAAGGCCAGCCACGTTTTTTTGATAAAATCCTGCTCTTCTGGCCTCTTAGGGCACTCTGAACATTTTGAACACAAGAGAGAGAATGTTCAAAAGCTACGAGGTCACACAGCCTTAAGTGGCAGCTTCTGGAACAAAGCAGGAAGACACAGGGAACACACGGCAGTCAATTAACATCAGATGTAATCTGGGAGGTTTACCGGGCAGGTTTCTCTCGCTGCCCTCCGGCTGTGCCCTGTGCAGTGTCACACTCAGCGTCCAAAGCCCAGGCAGATCTCAGGGAGCACAGCGCTGGGCAGGCAGGGGCAGCCAGCAGCAGCTCTTTGTGTCCCGTGGCTCCTGTAACCAGCGCAGCACCGCCCAGCTCACACCTCCATCTCCTCCCCCAGTGCCCTACAGGAACACGTCACAGATCTCCGAAAAAAATACAAATTCCTTGCATTAAAAGCACCCCTTGTCATGCAGCCCAGTAACTGCTCCCAGAATCCCTGAGGCTGGAAAAGCCCTCCCAGACCACGGAGCCAAACTTGTGCCCCATCCCCACCTTCTCACCCAGAGCACCGAGTGCCACATCCACACCTTCCCTGCACACCTCCAGCGATGGGAACTCCACCACCTCCCTGGCAGGTTCCAGTGCCTGAGCACCCCTTCCAGGAAGAAATCCTTCCTGGACTGTGCCTGACAGCTTACCTGAATCCTGCCAGCTGAGTTTTACACCCGCAGTCAGTGACACTAACACACCAAACAAGCTGACTGCCCTTTTGCAGACAGAAGGGGAAGTATTTTGGCTAAACCCCAACTGCTTTAGAACCACTGAATCACTAAGGCTGGAAAACACCTTTAAGATCATGGAGTCTGTTTCATATCCAATTGGATTTTTTATTGCAATCTAAGGAAAGATAAAAATTAAAAATATGTTTGCTGAACACACAAAGGGCTTAATTTTAATGGTTCAGTAGGAAACATTAATACAAACTTAATCAGTTTGAGGGAGTCTAACTGTGGAATGTGACATGTACATATTTGGCTTTTTCTGTGACAACTCAATGCATTTTCTGAGGCTGCTCACCCAATGTGTGATAAGAAAGGGCCAGAAAAACAAAGCTAGCCAGCAATAACGCCATAGAGTGTGACATTTACATAAACCCCACTGTGAGAACAGTGTTCAATGAGCAGAGTGATGACCTGCATGCAAATCCACCACACACCCCCTGAAAAGAATTTGCGTGCTGAGCCCGTGAACTTCCTAGTTCAGGACGATTATGAAAGCAGAACAGTGAAAGTTGAGGCATTCACTCATCTTCCACAACAAAAGAAATCCCCAGGCCACCCCCACTGAAAGGGCCAGCTGAATTTTCAATGAGCTTGGCTTCTCCAAGACAAGGAAAATGACACGTTAGTCAGCAGCAGGGTTGTTTGCTGGGTTTTCTTTTCCCCTCAAGTACACGCTGGCAGCATAAAAATCAGAGTGTGCTGCATCAGGCAATCCAAGAGGGAAGCTCAGGGTGCTACTGAACAACATACTGGTTTCATTTCCCTTGAAACTGTAGTTTTACTGCTGAGGCTGGCTTCTCGAATGATCACAAAAGATCAAATATTCTCAACAGAGACAGAAAACTAAAAAACAGTAAGTAAATTCGAAACAGCCATTTGGAAACGAGCGATCTCTCGGGATTTTCATTGTGTACACACACACTGGACCTCTTCAGCTCTTTTTGGGGACGTTTTCAGAAGACAGAGAGCGCTGCAGTTGTCCCAGCAGCAGCAAACCTGAGCCTCGGGGCCCTGATTGACTCACGGCTGTAGAGGCTGCGGGGACACCTCGGGCAGGCGAGGGCTGACAGTGCCCCGGGCCGAGCCGAGCCCCGGGACCCCCCGCCGCCCCCTGCCCTTACCTTGCCGTCCTCGCACCTCTTCACCTGGCCGTCCCTGGCCTGCAGCTGGCTGCTCAGGTGGCTGTAGTCCGCCTCCTTCTGCTCCAGCTGCTTCCTGTGCGAGTCCACCTTGCCCAGGAGGTCCGAGTTCCGCCGCTCCAGGCGGCCCCGCGCCACCTCGGTGCGCTGGGCCTGGCTCTGCAGCTCGGCCAGCTCCTCCCGCAGCAGGGCCTGGCGGGACGCCGCGTTCCAGCAGTGGAAGGCGAGCACGGCGATCACCGCCAGCAGCGCCACGAGCACCAGCGAGGGCAGGCGGCCGCCCCGGCGGTTCGCCCCGAACCCCACCATGGGGGAGGCCGAGGGCGGCAGCTTCAGGCGCAGCGGGGAAGGCGCTCAGGGGGGCCCTGAGGGGAAGGGGGTATCCCGAGGGGGGGAAGAGGGAATGCCCGGGGGGGAGCTGGGGGGTCCGTGGTGGAGGGGGAGGGGGGGGGAGGTGGGGGGCCGAGGGAAGGGAAGAGGCGCTGAGGGCAGCGGGCTAGGGGAGCTGGGGAGAACGGCGGGAGGGAAGAGCCCGAGGGGAGCGGGCGGTGGCCGGCAGGGCTGTGCCGGTGCCGCCGGGCCGTGCGGGACCGACCGACCGGCCGAGCCGCCACCGCGGCGCCCCGCCTGCCGCCCGCCCCTTGCGGCTCTCGCGAGAGGAGCCCGCGGAGCTCTCGCGAGAGCCGGGGCCCGCCCGCCCTGAGGCAGCTCGCGCCGGGGGCGGCGCGGCCGCGCTGGCAGTGTCACGGCGTTGCGCTGAAGGGCATTAAAAACCACTAAGAGCTGCCCGCGATGCACCGTGCCGTGCGCGGGGAAGCTCTTCACAATCACAGCCCCGTCCAGCCTGGCCTTGGACGCTCCCAGGGATCCAGGGGCAGCCACAGCTTCTCTGGACACCCTGTGCCGGGGTCTCCCCACTCTCAAGGGAATAATTCCTTTCCAATATCCCATCCATCCCTGCCTTCTGGCAGTTGGAAGCCATTCCCTGTGTCCTTTCCCTCCAGCCCTTGTCTCAAATCCCATTCCAGCTCTCTTGGAGCCTCTTTTGGCACTGGAAGGGGCTCTGAGTTCTCTGGAGCCTTCTCCAGCCTGACTCCAGGGCAGAGCACAGTGGGGCAGGAACGCCATGGGCTAACCAGCCCCACACCTGAGAGGTGTTTCCTGAGGGGACGAAATGTGTCCTCGCAGTGAAGAGAGCGGATGAATCATTCCTTTTATAAGAAATACTCAGATAACACATTTATTCCTGGGCACATTCCCTCACAGCCCGTTAATGTCACTCTGTTGCTGGTTCTCACAGGGGAAAATGGGACGCACAGCTGGGCTGAACACAACCAGCTCTGGGCATGGCTGCAGCCACTCCCTCGGTGTGAGGGGAGAGATCCAGACAAAGTCAGGGCTTGGTGTGAGGGGAGAGAGCAAAGTCAGGGCTTGGTGTGAGGGGAGAGATCCGGACAAAGTCAGGGTTTGGTGTGAGGGGAGAGATCCGGACAAAGTCAGGGTTTGGTGTGAGGGGAGAGATCCCAGCAAAGTCAGGGTTTGGTGTGAGGGGAGAGATCCCAGCAAAGTCAGGGTTTGGTGTGAGGGGAGAGAACAAAGTCAGGGTTTGGTGTGAGGGGAGAGATCCCAGCAAAGTCAGGGTTTGGTGTGAGGGGAGAGAACAAAGTCAGGGTTTGGTGTGAGGGGAGAGAGATCCGGAAAAAGTCAGGGTTTGGTGTGAGGGGAGAGATCCCAGCAAAGTCAGGTGTGCAGGTGTTCACCCACACATGGACTTTGGGCTTGGCTTTGCTCCCTGTGCTGGGATTTAGGAACAGTTCTGTGCGCTGCTGTGACCAAGCACCTCGGGCAGCAGAGGGTCACAGAGAGCCTCTGGGCACAATCCCGGTACCTCCAGCTGCAAATGGTATGGGGAGGGTGTCGGAGAAACAGAAGGGGATCCGTTTTTCTCCTAAAAGAAGCAAAAAGAACAATATTTAAGAAATAAAGTATAAAATGCCTTCCTGAGACACAGCACACATCATGCACAATTGTCAGCTGTGACGATGGTGTCACAGCTTTCTCCTTCCCACCTGATTCCATACTTTACACACCAATATTTGCACTTTGGCAATTTAGTTGCTGCTACCCTGATGGCCCATTAATTTGCCAGCCTGCTCTCTGCAGATGGCAGTGCAGATTCACATTCCAAATCCAGTGTTGCAAATTTTCAGTTCCAGGGTTTAAGTCTGCTCTGTTCAGCTTGTTCCTTCCGGCTGCACTTACTCCATGTCAGCCTGTCCACTGCAAGCCAGGAAACGTTTCACTAAATAATGGAAATACAGTAAAATAAAATAAATAAAAATGTGACAGTTTTGAGCTCAGACCTTGCCTGGGTTTACTTTTATTTAATCTATACCTATATATCTATTCACACACTTTGGTTTTGTAGTAACCTGTAAGAGTCAGCTCAAAAATCTCTCCATGTAGTGCTCAGTGGTGCTTGCTCCTCCCTTGTTTCAGCTGTTCCTGTTGGAATTTGTTTGATTTCCCAGCTCCTCAGAGTTCAGGGTCAGAACTGGCTCCTGCAACATTTTTTTTGTGGTTTCCTTTGCATGTCTGGGAACTGAGGCAACACCAGGGAGTTTTCTTTTTCCAATTAATTTGCCGTTTAATTCCATCTGTGTTCCACGCCCTGTGGTCCTGTTCTTTTCCTGGTTGGAAAGGTGTTCCCACTGCCTCTCCCTGGCTGTAATCTTACACTGTGTTGGAAGAATGTATCCCATGGCATGTTCAGCTCAGCCTCTGACAAGATCTTGGCTGATCCTTGGCTTCTCTGCCCACGATGATCTGGTGTGGATGGGGAGATCACTCACCGGAGCACTCAAATTGTTTCATCCTGAAACAGGGCAAGCACAGGAACTAAGCCTCAATCCCTGTACTTACGGAGAAAGTGAAGGATCCAAGGAAGAAAATTTATTTGGTGTTGTATCAAAATCTTCCAGATCTCTCCATGTGCCTTTTCCATTTGTCTGCCACTAACCAGATTAATATACACAAAGGTTATTTAACAAAATAGTAATAAAACAGAAAACTCTTACATCCACTAATATATGCAAGAAGTAACACAACCAGTATTTATGGACTTTTTCCTACGTAACAGAGAATAAAAACTGATATAATTGAATGACTTTTCTGTTGGCATCACCAGGATGTCATAAAAATGTGCAGAAGTTTGATAATATAAAATTACAGTGGTTCTGGAAGGTGTTAACATTTTCCAAGAAAGAATGCCCAGGACTGGTGGTGCTGCAGAGGTGTGTGAGCAGCAGCATGAGAGCCCTTATCAGCAGAGAAAACACGCAAAGGAACCTCAGAAACTGCTGCTTCAACCCTTCCACTCTCACAGCCTAGGACAGAGCATCCCCCTGCCTTGGTTTTGCAGATGAAATCCATCATATGCATTTGATTGTCTTCTTCCCTTCAGACATTTGACTTTGCAAAGGAATTGCTGATTATTTGCTTCCTTTTTTTTTTTTTTTTCTTATTTTCCTGCTGTGAGGTTGGAAAGTTTAGGAACTCCACATGTGATATTTTTAGAACCAGTGTAGTATTGTTACTGCCATGGCATTTTTATCAGTTAAAGAAATAAAATATATGAGGTGTTGCTCCAGCCAAGTATTTTGATCCCTTCAGAACCCAAAGCAGGCTTTTAAATGAAAGACAAATTTAGCCATATTTATTTTTTGTGCATAATTTAACTCAAAGATAAGAAGACAGTCTGATTTAATAATCTATTCAGCATTACAGAAAATGGGTGATTTTAAAAGCCTCTGATTAAAGATTCTAGGATCCTGCTTCCTTCCACTGTAGCAGAATAAACCTTTTTTTAAATCTATTACAAGTTTGTGGTTTTTTACAAACATTCTGAAGACAGAACTCAAATTATCCCAGACTTTTAGCATATCCTTAAAAGCTGATTAACATACTCCATCTGTTGGTATGCCAAGCAACTGTCCAAATGAGCAGCATTTCCATGGAGATTTGTAAAACTCCGGCTAAAGTAGGAAAACAGCTCTAGCAGGGGGATGGCATTGGAGGGGTGTTTTGGTGGAATGTGATTGTTGCACTGGTGAGTGAGGTTGATGCTTAAAGTGCTGTTGTCCTGCAAAGTGTCCAGGACCCCCTTACCCCAGAGCTGTGCCTGTGAACACTTCGGGTGCTCACTTGCAGGAAGAATGGTAAAAATAATTCATTTCCATTTCAGCACATTCAGTGAGTACCCACGAGCGGCCCTCAGTGGCATCTCTTTCCCACCTCTAATAAAGTGTAACTTGGGCTGCAGAAGTCAGGGAAGGCCCGCTGACTTCTAAGGAAAATGTTTGCTGTATCCCTGAAGGGTGAAGATGGCACTTGAGCAGCTGGAGAAGGACTTGAATGGAATCAGAACTGGGGTTTAGAGCTGAAATGGGGTTGTGTTTATTTACAGGCACCTGAGGTTTGGAAATCTTTGTGAGAATAAGTGTTTTGGAGTGAGGTATCAGAATCAATCTCCTCGAACATGTTGCTTTATGAAAACAAAGCCAGGAACATCTGGGATTGGCTCAGCAAATGGCAGCCCAAAGAGCAGACCTGTAGCCAGGGAATTGTGATTGGCTTGAAGCTGCATCCCAGGCCGGGAGCAGGGAGCACATCTGTTCCTGGGAAGCAGCTGGGGAGGCTCAGTGCAGTCTGGCATTTAGGAAAAAGGTGCTTTCTCTCAATAGTATTCCGCAGAAGAAGGTTTGTTTTCATTTTCAGGAGCAGCTCCGAGGGGCTGGTGGAATTCCTGTAACAGCAAATGACATTTCCAGCAAGGATAAAGCTACAGCTGCTGGCAGGAGCTCCCATAGGTTATTGTGGATCATCACTGAAAAGACAAAGCATTGATTTTGGAGTGATTCTTGCAGGGAAGTGTCTGTGAGGGAATGAAGAGTGAATGGTGCACTGGGAATGTTTTTGTCTGAGACTCGGAAAGGAGCTGAGGGGTCAGGGCTCACTGAGCTCCTGGAGATGCAAACCAGGCAGGGAATGCCCAGAGTGGGTGTGGGGGGGATCAAAATTCCCCTTTTCCCTCGAGCAGGAGTGGCTGCAGGAACAGGAAGGCATTGCTGTGGATTTCCCTGGGAAGGGATGAGCTGCAGAGGAGCAGAGCTGCCGCCAGGTCCTCGGAGCAGCTGCTGAAGAAGGTGGCCTGGGGAACAAGAAGTGGGGCAAAAAGAAACATATCCCTGGAGATGAGATAGCTGTGGCCCCAGAGTGAGTGCAGGAGGCTCGTGGTGATCCCCTGCTCCTAGAAGGAAAGGTTATGTGTGCTGGGAAGGCGCTCAGCCAGAGTGCAGTCAAGTATTTTAACACAGGGAGTTGAGGTTCTGTT